ATGAATGCTTGATTAGTATCACACTTAAAGTGACAGAATACTCCTTTTTGTGAATCACTGTAACATACATATGACTACTTTGCTGTATTTTTCTATTTCATTTTCTTGTAAATTCATCAGTATTAACTGATGCATAAAACTGAGGAAAAATCAGCCGAATACGGTTGATGACGCACACACATTATGTTCAGTGAACAGAATAAGGCAGAAATGACATCCACATTAAGCGTGTCCTCTAAATTTCAGACAGTTCATCAGCTTATCACATAGATCTTTGCTTTCCAAATCACAACACTAACTAACATTGTTGCTCATTTGTCAACATTATCACACTCATAAATCCATCTGTATCCAGAACACAACCATTTTGAACAAAAATTTGTCATATTTATTTGCCGTATAACAGACTTATTACTGTCAACTTTTTAATGTCAAAAAAGCTTTCAAAATTGTTATCGGCTTTAGAAGAAAAAAACCTTGGATAAATAAACATATATCATTATTGACAAATTTTGATGACTTCCAAACAACACTAAATGTTGAAACAGAATTTTTTGCTTCATTCAACCGATCAAATTTGAATTGTTAAAACTCTATTCTATTATAGGTAAATTTTTGTTCTTTTTCTTCTTTATACCGTAATAAATCTCGTTGTATTAAAATTTGCACATCAGATATATTATATTTGTGCAAAAACTTCTTCATTGATATGGCAGTTTACAATAACAGCAGAAAATTGTTGTTACAGTTGCCATCTATAATCGCCCCGTTCTTTCCTTTTTTTTTTTTTTCCAACTTCAAAAAATGACAAATATCTTTAAAACTCTGCAACAGCATCAGCAGCATCAACAACAACAACAACAACAGCAATTTTGTCCGCATAAATTAGACCTTATTTGGACAAATAATTTTATTGCCCGGCCAATTACCATTGTTATTGAAAAACACAGAAATTGATCAACCAATTTTGTGAACTTCAAAATACACACCATCTTTAAACCGCCCTCATTTTTCTTGTCTCTGTTGCACCTCTGTAACCAGCAATAAATGCCAATAATTCTTTCTTTCATCAAACAGTTCCTGTCTTATTAAAAATAATGTTTCTGTAATTTCCTCTCTATCTGTTCCCGTGTACGCATAAATCTTCAATTTTCACTTACGCCGACTATTTACACTAGTAATTTTCATTAATTTTCAGGTAAAAATCATTTAATAGCCAAACTGTATCAACAAAAACGAACCTATAGAAGAAGAATGAAAAAAATGCTTGCCCAAAATTAAACCAGTTTTGATTGCAATACACAACAGAACAACAAAATATTCTTCCAGGAATACATGTTTATTAAAAAAAACTCAAAATTCGGAAAAAAAAAACAGAAAAAACAATAAATAAATAAATAGCGTACAGATAAAAAGAATATAAGCAACGACGTTGGACCATTTTGTAACATACAGCAGACAATAATTTATCAAACAAAAACAAAAAGACACAAGAAAAAAAAAATTCATTGCACACAGTTTCTTCTGTTTCTCTTTTTTTTTTCTTCCTTCTTCTTTCTTTGCTTTACTTTTTTTTTTTCCCATCAATTTTTCCACTTTCTCGTTCTTTTTTTTCAACATACAAAACAACACTGCTTGCGGATATTTGAACAGTGCTTCTCGGAAATATAACATCCCATAGGTATTACGACAAGTAAAAAAGCAAAACAAAAGAAAAAAAAACTAAAAAAGATTTCTATCCTTTTGATAATGATTAAAATGATAAGAAATAGGAAAGAAAACAAAAAGAAAGAACCCCCCACCCTTACCATTCAATAGAAGGTTACAGAAAAAAAACTATAGATGCCAGAAGTATACCACAAGATAGATGGAAACTGAAAAAGATAATAATTGAAAGATTATATGAAGAAACTTCTCATTTTTTTCCAACTTTTTTT